GCGGCGACGGCCATGCCAAGGTCTCCGAGTCTGATCTAATCTTTCTTTTTTTGAAGGCTAGTAGTAGTGGCAGTCGTCGTAGAAGTAGTAGTCGTAGTAGTAGTCGTCGTCGTAGTAGTAGTAGTAGTAGTAATTTAGTAGTAGTAGCGAAAGCGGCAGCAACAGCAGCGGTAGCAGTAGCAGTAGCAGAAGCAGTTGCAGGGCCAAGAGCAGCAGAAGTAGCAGTGGCGGTGGCAGCAGCAGCATTAACAATACTAAAAATGCGAAGAGCATTAAGCTAGAGGTGTGAGACTAGGATGAGGAAGCGCATCAGTAGTCAGCAGCAGATGCTGCAATCATCACGAATCACTCACGAAGCCCATTCAATATCAGGAGCTGAATTTCCAACATAGGCAGGATGGCCCTTGTCCTAATGGTCGGTTGGAGTCACCCGAGCTGCTTTCGTCTGAGCCTGGGGCGGACAAGGAAAGGTGTTCGGACCAGATTTAGGCAAGCTGTCCTGGTTGTATCGTATAGTCTCATTGTTAGAGGCATGCCACTGCCCTGGCGAGGCAACAAGCTTTTCTCACCATTCCCTACGTTTGGGGTGTAGGGGATCTGTGGTGAGTTTCGCTTCTTGGCATCGTCAATTCAGGTTCTGCCTTCGGGCTTTCTAAGCTCAAGACCGCTACAATGCGATGATACAACACCTGTTGCTAAATGGGTAGATGGGTGTCAGTGCCTCTTAAGAGCGCAGCTTGGGGGGTCTGCTTTCAAAGACGGCTCCCCAAGGTATACCCGAAGCTTCATGGCCGAAGCAACGAAATCCCATATATATAATGTAAAGGCAGGTCTATGAATGTGTATGTATGCCTCTGCATGCACATGCATGCATTGCACATGTACCTGTGTACATGCATGCATATGCGAGTATATGCAAGTGTCTGCATGTGTATGTATGTAAGTATGCCTGCATGCAGGTATGCACTTGTGTGTATTTGTGTTTGCATATGCATGCATATATATATATATATATGTCTGTACTTCGATCTATACTTTTAATAGTATGTACATCTATGTGTACATGTACGTATATATGTTCAGGTACACGCATACACATACGTAAATGTAGGTCTATGCGTACATGTTCACGGATGTGTATATGTATGGGTATGTTTCTGTAAATGTGCCTGTGTATGTTTGTGCGGTTGTTTACGGTGCTGTTTTTGTATTGTGTGTGTTCATGTATATCCAGAGGCTTTTGTACGTGCATATGTACATGTATAGGTATGTTTCTGCACATGTACATGTTTTTTGTATATGTATTTGTACATGTACATGTGTATGTGTCTGTGTCTGTCCACGTGTATGCGTATGTGTGTGTATGCACACACATATATGTGGTACTTATATCTACAAAGAACCATGCTGGCCTCTAGACACATGTTGTAACAGGTCGATGCTGGCTGAGGCTTCATTCAGTCACATGCCGAACTGTGAGTTGAAGCCAAGGCGTCAACGATAATGAGACCCACGACGCCTAAACCGAAAACCATATTCCCTAAATCCTCAACCCTGAATCCCCCGAAATCCTGAATCCTAAACCCTGAACCTGCAAGAGCCCTGCGTTTGCTGTCCTTCCCGAAATCCTTGCGCTGCAAGCTGCCTTTCGCAAGCGCCATTGCCTTGCCCTTCATGACTGGCCACCATCGAGCAAGGCAAAGAGCTAGCGCCATTACCTGAGCTTTTGGGCTTCATTCCGGATTTGTAGGGAGTTTTGGTATTTATGCTTCGGATTTAGGCCTTGTCTAGGCACATGAAAAAGGCTTCCAGAAGGCTGTGGTATCGCCGCATATGGCTTTGCAGAGAGGTTTCTACTGGGTTTTGTAGATTTCACAACTAGCGGCTGTACCGGATCTGGCCTTCTTAAACCCTAACCCTAGACTGTCGGCGGGCTTCGGGCTAAAGTCGGCTAAAGCTTGGCAGGCTTTTCGGAGGCGGGCCTACCTGTTTAGGGTCGATAAGAGCTACAACCGGGATCGCTGTTGTGCAGGGGCCCTGGTCCCTCAAGCTTTACACTGCTGTTGTCGCTATTGCGCCTGATCCATGGCTTTCTGTCCGTGATCCTTTTTTCTGTCCTCAGCCAGCGCTCCAGCGTCACAAGGTCCCGTCTCGGCATCTGCTGCGTCGACGCTTCTGGATTTCTATGGGGGTGGCCTCGATGTAAGAGGGCCGGAGGGAAGCCAGGTCCAAATCGAGGGACCCTAAAGCTAACCTATTCTGGACCCTTTGTTCCAGATACCCCTAAACCCTAAACCCTAAACCCTAAACCCTAAACCGCTAAGCCCCTAATCCCGTAATCCCCTAAACCCCTAAACCCTAAACCCTCTTTCGGACGAGGAAAGGGAAACGTCTTGTCTGTCGGGCTCAGCCTCTGGAGACGGTCCCGGCATGGTGTGTGGCCGGGACCCGCTCCTTCAACGAGGGCAGTAATGCGAGAGGGTATCCGTTGAAAAGAGTCTCTTCCCGGATCGCGTCCGTCTCGCTGTGCTTCCGCAACTTCGAGAAGAAGATCTGCTGTGCTGAACATCAAAGGGCCTGAGCAGAGCTGAGTACACCCAACTGCGGCAACCGAAGTAACACTTACTCATACATACTGCATACGTTACATTACATTACATTACATTACATTACATTACATTACATTACATTACATTACATTACATTACATTACATTACATTACATTACATCACAATACCATTACAATACATTACAATACATGACAAACCTCTACAACACATTACAATACACTACCATACATTACAATACATTACCATATATTACAATGCATGACCGCACATTACAACACATTACAATGCAATACAATGCATTACAATACATTACAATGCATTACAGCACATTACAATACGTTACAATACACCACAATACATTACAGTAAAATGCAGCACATTGCAATACAATACAAAACATTACAATACAATGCAGTGCATTTCAGTACATTACATTACATCACATTACAATACGATGCAATACAAGACGATACTACATTACATACATGCATGCATGCATGCATGCATACATACATACATGAAGCAAATACACACGTACATACACAGGCATACATACATACATACATACATACATACATACATACATACATACATACACACATGCGTACAAACATGTTTACTCTGATTGTATATGCATGCACATACATATATACATGCATATACAGATATATCCATGCGATGGTACATGCATGGTGAATATATCTGTCCATTTACCCATCCATCCAGACATCCAGCCCGCCAGCCCCACCCACCCACCCACCCACCCGCCCGCCCGCCCGCCCGCCCGCCCGCCCGCCCGCGCGCCTGCCTCCGCCCCCCACCCAGCCACCAGCCTTCCATCCATAGGTCGGGGGCTGTTGTGCAACTTCCGAAAGAATCTAGGCGGCTGAAACTTCTGCACGTCGACGCCGACTGGTGTAGCTCGGAAAGCGAGCAAGTAAGTCCGATTCACAATAACAAAGCCAGCGACAGTTCTGCTGCGTCATGTGCAGGAGAGTTGAGGCATTGTGTGGTCATGGGCAGCAACTGACTATACTATTGACTATACAGGCTCCTTTGGAAAGAAGCAACACCGGAACTCTACAAGCAAGCATGCACTGAGACAAACAAGCACAGCGCGGCCACAATACAGCTATGTCCATGTTATCTACATACCCGTGGCAGTACGGATGCACCGCAGTGCGTGGATGTGCATATGCATACAAGCATACTGTGTCTGAGCCTGTTGCGACATAGACATAACAGAATATATCTCGACGGTCATGGCATGCGACCTGGCTATACCGACCACCAAACTGGAGTTGCAAATAAGACTCGGACGCCAGCTTTCAGGCAAACGGTTGACAATGCCGTGTCACTTCGCTACGTCTCCAAGTTTTGCGCTCTGCATGTCCCATGCGTAACAACGAAGCTGGCTAGCTAACTTAGGGTTAGGGCTCTATCCCAAAATAGTCGAGCCATTGGGGAGCCTCGTGGATGACGATCGGCATCAGCGCCTCTTCACCGTCCATGGTCAAGCCGAACCGGCCGATCGCTGCCTATGCACAGGTTTGGGGGTTTAGGGTTTAGGGTTTAGGGTTTAGGGTTTAGGGTTGGCTCAACATCGAGGCTCTGCGTTCTACAAAACCCAGTATTTTGGGGGTCCTCCCCTTCCCCGGTCCTCGCCCGCTCCAACGGCGCCTTCAAGGCACCAGCAGTTCGTTGGCCCTCTTTGTTTGTGGCCGGGCCGAGGCGGACGACGCGAAGCGTTTAAAATTAGAATAGGGTTTGGGGGCCACTATACGAACCCCCAAACTAGTATTGGGAATTATTGAGGCTCCTACAGCAAAGAAGCTCTCCTACAAAGCTCCTTTGCTCTTGACCAAAAAACCCACCCGATGCCCTCAACGCCCGGACAGGCACCTCGAAGCGACGTCCGTGGGACTCTGCCGGCTCCAGGATCTTCATCTCCTTGGGTTCAGGGTTTAGGGGTTAACGTTCAGGGCTTAACGTTCAAGGTTTAGGGTTTACGGTTTAGGGTTTAGGGTTTGGGGGGTTTGGGTTTCGGGTTTCGGGTTTTGGGTTTAAGGTTTAGGGTTTAGGGTTTAAGGTTTAGGGTTTAGGGTTTGAGGTTTAGGGTTCGGGCCTAGGGTTTGGGGCTTTACGCTATGCGGGTTACTGCTGAGGCTTACTATAAGAGCTACTGTAGGTGTTGCCACAAGGGCCATATAGCTGCTTTGTCGCATCTCCCTGTGGCGGCATAATACGGGTAGTTCTCTAAATTAGGGTCCCTTTTGGGGTCCGTTATATAAGGGTGCCGTACTATGTTGGGTCAAGAAGGGCCCTACATTAGAGAACGGCCCATAAGGCTTTGAAGGCTCAGAAGCTTGGGAACTCGGTTTCAAGTTCGGGGCTTCAGGTTCGGGCGGACATGTGTCGGTCAATGTCAGCCCAGGACGTTTGCCTGCGGGGCTTAGGGTTTAGGGTTTGGGGGAGGTCAGGGTTTAGGGCTAGGGGTTGAAAATACACCCAGGGGATCTAAAGTAAGCTTGGAGTAGGGAACTCCGCTTGCAAGAAACCATAGCCCCAGGCAATGCCCAAGAGTCGTACAGATTTACAGATTCAACCTAACCTTAAAGACTAAACCCTCCAGCGAGAAACCAAAAGCGACTCGCAATCCTCAAGTAGAACCCGGGTAAAGCCCTAAACCCTAAACCCTAAACCCTCCCAAGGGCGAGGCACGAAGCTCCCGTGGAGCGTCCCAACCTGCCCCCCAAAGGCCGGAAAGGCCACGGTCCCAGGTTTTGGGGCTCAGGGCTCATTTAGGGTTTAGGGTTTAGGGTTAGGGTTTAGGGTTTAGGGTTTAGGGTTTAGGGTTTAGGGTTTAGGGTTTAGGGTTTAGGGTAGGGCTTAAGGGCCTGAGTTTGGGCGTTTGGGGTTGAGGGGTTGAGGGCTTGAGTGGTGGAGGGGTTTAGGGATTTAGGGTTTCAGGGGTTCAGGGTTGAGGGGTTGAGGGGTTGAGGAGTAGAGGGGTTACAGCGCTTAGGGTTCAGGGGTTCAGGAGTGTAAGGGTTTAGGGATTTCAGGGTTACCTTTGAAGATGTTGGGTTAAGGGTTTCGGCTCGCGAATAAGCAAAGACGCTTGCTTCTCCCTTTTCGCAGTAAGTAACAGTAGATTATAACAGGTAACATACAGCATATGCTATGTCACATACAACAAATAAGAACATATGTAGCAGTAAAATCATCATCATCATCATCATCATCATCATCATCACCATCACCATCATCTTCATCATCATAGCCATCATCCTTATCACCACCCTCAGCATCACCATCATCATCATCCTACAAAATGACCTAAATACTACCGGCAGCAATAACGATAATAACAGTAATCATAATCGTAATGAAAACAATCGCGACAATAACCATTAGCATATTTTGGTCCCCCTTATAGATCCCTTTAAAGAACCTTCATAGAAACCCATATGATCCCTTTAAGGGACCCTAATTTAAAGAACTACCAATATAACCTATAGACCCTAAAACCTAAACACTGGGTAGAAAAACCCTATAGAAACCCTTCTAGATCCCTTTAAGGAACCCGAAAAGGGGACCCGAATTTGAAACATGGAACTACCCCTGTAGCATAAAATCTCCCAGTGCGCCCCCGTGCCTCGCAGGAGAGCGGGCCTTCAGTTCATCAGTTGTTGGGCGTCTAGGGCGGAGAGAGTGAAAAAGGTTTGAGGGTTAGGGTTTAGGGTTTAGGGTTTAGGATTTAGGGTTTAGGGTTTAGGGTTTAGGGTTTAGGGTTTAGGGTTTAGGGTTTAGTGTCAAGGGTTAAGGGTTTGGGGTTTGTTTCTTTTGAAGGTGCAGTAACCTCTTTCATCCGCTCGAAGCTTGCTCAATATTGAGCTTGCATCAGACAGCACCCGAAAGGCCCAATCACTCTCTCCATCTGGACTATCCGGACTATCCAGACTCACCAACCACATCAAGGGTTTGGGGTTTAGGGCTTAGGGCCTAAACCCTAAACCCTAAACCCTAGACCCTAAACCCTAAACCGGTGTGGAGTTGAAAGTTTAGCTTGGTGTTCGGGCTTCCTTGCTTGGCGAGCAAAACAGCAGAAATGGGTTCATTCTGGGAGCGTTCGAGTCTAAGGATTACTAGCAGGGTTTCAGACAGAGGCCTTAATAATTCCAGCCTCTATAGCAGGCCCTTATAGTAACCCTGAGAGTCTACCCTGAACCCTAAACCCTCATCGTAACCCTTGTAGTCTTAACAACTAAAACAAGGATTTCAGAGCTGGCTCAAGGGCTGCCCGCTGGAGCATTTATGGCTGGGGCATAAGGTTTAGGGTTTAGGGTTGAGGCTTTAGGCTTTAAGCTTTAAGCCATCAACCACACATCCTCCTCACATCATGACTCCCTCGAAGCCCTACACACGAACCCCGCGAAACCCCAGGCCCCACACCCAAAAGCCCCAAAGAACCGAATTAATACTTCGAGCTGGATTTGGGAGTGATATGTGATAGGGTATCCCATGAACCCTATAGCCTAAACCCCAAAAATATATTAGTATCTGTATCCCTACGAAGTGGACTGCCCAGTAGCAGGCCGAGCTGTAGGTGAAGGACTCGCCGGGCCGCAAAATGGGCTGCTGGCCGAGGACGCCCGAGGCCTAGAATTCTCGGGGCTTAGGATTTAGGGTTTAGGGTTTAGGGTTTAAGTTTAGGGCCGAAGACGCCCGAGGCCTTGTGGCAGAGCTGGAGGTTCAGGGCTCAGGGTTTAGGGTGCGGGGTTGAGGCTCGAGGGTTTACCCTGAACCCTCAATCAGCGCATGTAGACTCCTACGGGAACTACGGCTTACTGTAAAAAGGCCTTTAAAGGGCATGTTCGGGAAAATGTCCGAACGGGCAGCAAGCAGCCGCGCGTCAGGCTTGGCACA